TGTTACAGGTACTACTTGACGACCTGCCACAAGTGACCTTCCAATCTTCAAATCCGCTGGCCTGGATGGGTCTTGCACTGCTTCCACAAGCATTGGGCTTCCTTGGGATGTTCTTTTATCCTACCCAAAATTATCTTCTCCGACATAGGGGTCTTGTAGTTGATTTAAGTGCTGTGACATGCAGATCAACGGATGCAGCAACACTTACTGGAATCTGGCCTTTGTTGTTTCCAAACGTCATTTTATCTAAATTAATTACAAACTTCCTCGGTAGTAAGTAGTCCAACCCTAATATGCATTCGTCTTCAATGTTAGCCAAGTAAACTTTGTGTCTGTTAATCACGCCCATGAGCTCTATAGTTACCCACACTGGTCCCTACAACCTTGTATAATTTCCTGTCACACCACAGAGCTTCTGTACAACTTCGGGTACTCCTTTGTGATCCAGCACCTTGATACTCACAAGGGTTTGCTGAGATGCAGAATCTATGACAAAGTTATACCTTTGGCCATCCAGCTTCCCTGTCACGTAGACACTATGTGTGCTTGCCATTTTACACTTAGCTGTTGGGACTTTCACGATAGCGGTTGGTGGACGTCCCTCAGCACCAACCACTACTGGTTTCCCGAAGCTGAATTATTGGTGGTATTCTTCTTACACTGGCTCATCATGTGTCCTTGCCCTCCACAGTTCCAACAACCTTTCTGAGTAGCAACCTTTCCTGCTGTGGCGTCTTCTCTGTTTGTAAGTTGCCAGCATTGAGCTCTCTGTGCCCAGGTTTATTACAGTGCCAGCAAAGTCCCTCAAACTTCTCTGAAAGCTTCCCTTTCTGGCCTTGAATCCTGACGACTGTACCAACCTTGGTACCTCTGTGCTAGACTTAATGTAGGATTCAAATTCAAGAGCTCTGGCCATTGCATCCTGCATAGTAGAGGGGTGTGCTTGCTTCACTTGTATCTTTAGTTGTGGACTTTCCAAGGCATCTACAAACTGATCCCTCACCAACATCTTGAGGAGATTGGGTGGTGCAGTTGGGTAGGCCTTGTGTGACATACTTTCCAAGTCCTGTGCCAGCTCTTGCAGGCTCTCCCCTTTAGCACGGACTCTCGTCCTAAACCTAGCCCTGTAGACTTCAGACTGATTTTGGGTTCCGTACCTGAGTTCTAGAGCCGCTACCAGTGCTCTATAGTTGTGAAACAAGAAGAGAGATTACAGCAGTTGTTGGAGGAAAAAGAAAAGAAACAAGAAGAACGAGAAGAGAAATTACAGCAGTGGTTGGAGGAAAAGAAAAGAAACAAGAAGAACGAGAAAATAAACAAGAAGAGAGAATACAGCAGTTATTGGAGGAAAAAGAAAAGAAACAAGAAGAACGAGAAAATAAACAAGAAGAGAGATTACAGCAGTTGTTGGAGGAAAAAGAAAAGAAACAAGAAGAGAAATTACAGCAGTGGTTGGAGGGAAAAAAGAAACAAGAAGAACGAGAAAATAAACAGGAAGAAAGTCTCCAACAGTTGCAAGAAAGTCAGCAGCAACTACAGGAAAGTTAACAACAGTGGCAAAAAGTACAAATGGAAAACATTAGTATATTTCAAAGCGAATTAAACACATTAAAGGATGATTTCATGTCTTTTACACAAGGAGGATATACATTAATCAGCCCCAGACAATGGCAAGCACCTTCCAGGCCCTGCAGCTAAACCCTAATGCAGACATCTTCAGTCCTGTTAGAAGTCACATCCCAGATATGAATATCAGCAATAGGGGTGATACAGTACGAAGGAAGCCACAGGAATTCGATGGGAAGGCTCAGTGGGAAGCATATAGAGCACAATTTGATTTACTGGCAGAGATGAATGGATGAACAGAGGAGCAGAAAGCAGTATATCTGGCAACGAGCTTGAAGGGACAACCACTGAAAATACTTGGGCAGTTGTCAGCAGACGACAGGAAAAAGAAAATGTTGTTGGAGGAAATTAAACAAGAAGAGAAATTACGGCAGTTGTTAGAGGAAAAAGAAAAGAAACAAGAAGAACGAGAAATTAAACAAGAAGAGAGATTACAGCAGAAACAAGAAGAACGAGACAAGAAGAGAGACAACAGCAGTTGCAAGAAAACCTGCAACAATGGCAGCTCGAACAACAAACTTTTCTTTTTCCTCTAACCACTGTTGTAATTTCTCTTCTCGTTCTTCTTGTTTCTTTTGCTGTTCGTGTATTACTGCCATCAAGTCTGCTAGGCTGTAGTTTGATTTGCCGCTTCTCGTTTCCATTTTTTTTTCTGTCCCACTCTCTGACACCAAATTGTTACGTCTCCGTTTGTTAATTGATTTTCCGTAACTTCGTTCCGACGAAACTTAAGCGACACAAGTTCTTTCTTAATAAAAACTGGTTTATTCTTTCCGAATATAACTTTACCGATATACTCAACTTCAACAATCGCGCTAAACAAACGCTATAACAACGAACGTGCTCAATAATACTTCTGACTGCAGATCAATTACTCACTGTCTACAAACACATTACATTATCTTGTCACGTTGTCACCCTCTTTTATATACCCGACTACCCTATATCTAGTAAATACTAGAGCATTCGCCAAAGTACAGGATAGTTCTAGAAACTTGGCGTCACACTAGTCATGTGACTCGCTGACGCAACAATATAAAAGAAACGTTTTAATTAATTGTTGAAAGCTGTTTGTTTGTAATATGTTTATGTAAAAGAAACGTTTTAATTAATTGTTGAAAGCTGTTTGTTTGTAATATGTTTATATAAAAGAAACGTTTTGATTAATTGTTGAAAGCTGTTTGGTTGTAATATGTTTATATAAAAGAAACGTTTTAATTAATTGTTGAAATCTGTTTGGTTGTAATATGTTTATATAAAAGAAACGTTTTAATTAACTGTTGAAAGCCGTTTTTTGTAATATGTTTATATAAAAGAAACGTTTTAATTAATTGTTGAAAGCTGTTTGTAATATTCTTATATAAAAGAAACGTTTTAATTAATTGTTGAAAGCCGTTTGTAATATGTTTATATAAAATAAACCTTTTAATTATTTGTTGAAAGCTGTTTGTAATATTTTTATATAAAATAAACGTTTTAATTAATTTTTGAAAGCTGTTTGTTTGTAATATTTTTATATAAAAGGAACGTTTTAATTAATTGTTGAAAGCTGTTTGGTTGTAATATTTTTATATAAAAGGAACGTTTTAATTAATTGTTGAAAGCTAATTTTCTAGGTTCGTCTCCAGACTCAAGATGTGAGCAAAGCTTTATATAGGGGAGCCTTCCATTGCGTTTCTTCCACAATCACAAACGAATCGGTAAGAATAACGGCCATTTTTTGTTTTGGTTCTTCCATCACGTCACAGAGGGATTAAACAATACGTTCATATGTTGTTTCATGTGCCTCCAAATTAATGGATTTATTGAAGACGAAAATAAGGGAGATTTTTGATTTGGTCCTCTGTAGATAGCCTAGGGCAGTGACTACCAAGCCGTGGTACGAGTACCACTGGTAGCAAGTGGAGCTTTCGTTTATTTGTTTCTTTATTTTAGAGCAAAGCCATCTTGGGTTACCTGCTGTGTCTACTGCGGTGAATCGAAACCCTGATGCGTTGTAAGTCCGTAGACTTACCGTTGTACCACTGAGAGTCAAAAGTGGTGTTAATGTCGGCGATACACAAAAATGTTGTTTGTTTGTTTATAGTTAAGCTCAAAGTTACACAATGGGCCATCTGAGCTGTGCCCACCAAGGATATCGAAACCCGGTTTCTAATAGTATACATGTCGCTGTGCCACTGGTGGGGTAGTGGTACGCAATAAAATGTAAACGTTTTAAAATTAATAATAAGCCCATACTACTTACCTCACTTCTAGATGTCCCCCGAGAGGAAAAACGGTAACTTTACGATTTTACAACACTAAAACCTGGGGTTCGATTCATCGTAGCGGACACAGCAGGTAGCCCAATGTAACTTTCTTCTAAAACAAACAAACATTTTTAGAGTCGCTAGGGTTTTCTTCCTCTCAACTTGACAATAATCGTACCACATATTATTCAACTGTGCCAGAATCACATTCTTTGCATTTAGGTTTTAAAAATATTATTTTTTTCCTAGTAGGTATTTTTTCGTTTTTTTTTTAACAGGTCTGAGTTGTACTTGATATACAAAAAAAAGTGTGGTACGCGAGTCTGGGAACCACTGCTCTAAGGAACTGATGCTTCTCCGTCTTTTGTTTTAGTATCACACACAATTTGAATATTTATGTCAAACGTAACATCAGTTTTACCCCCAGAAAGAAAGTATAATTTATTTTATGAATAATCATTTCCGGTCTCAAGTTAGTAATATTCTTGTATATAAATTCTAGTATTATTTACTTATCTTATTATTAAGCGCCAAGATGTCTAATTGGCTATCTGTTCTGTGCCTATTGGAGGGAACAAACCACGAATTTCAGTGTTATGAGCACTCAAGATTAACACTTTGCCACTGAGGAGCTAAATTTAATCAAATAAGTAACATATTCCCCGTTATTTTTGTTGTTTTCTTAGTGCAAAGCTACACAGTGGGCTGTCTGTCTGCACTCTGTCCGCCACGGGAAATAGAACCCTAGATTTTAGCGATACAAATTCGTAAACTTATCACTGACCCAACAGGGGAAAATACGATCTGAGACTGACCAAAGATTTTTAACAAACAAGTTATTATTAAGTAAATAAAAATAGTATTTTTCCAATCATTTTTTTTATTTACAAACACTGTTTAAAAATACAAGTGAAAAAGGGAAAATTAGTTATGTTATTGCAACACTAAGCCCCCTAGTGGCACAGCGGAATGTTTGCGGACTTACAACGCTAGAAACCGGGTTTCGATACCCGTGATGAACAGAGCACAGATAGTCCTTGTGAAGCTTTGTGCATAATTAAAAACAAACAAAGCAACACCAAATTCTTTTTTTTTATACTTTAGATAGGTGGTCTATACAAAGGAATGTCTTCCCCAATGTGTAGTCTTGCCTTTATCAACGCCATTCTTTTTGGTGTCCAAGGCAACGTTCAACGGTGTTTTTCTGATCCCAGCTCTATCACTAGCCATATGATAGGGGGAGCCGCAGCGGGAGCAGTACAAAGTGTAATAACCAGCCCAATGGAGCTGGCTAAGACCCGGATGCAGCTTCAAGGACAACACGCAGTAAAAACACGATTCCTTCGTTCCACAGAATTTTCACACTCGTATAGTGGTCCGACTGACTGCCTGATGAAGTTATTTCGAACGGAAGGCACACGTGGGATCTTCAGAGGCCTCAGTTGCACAATTCTTAGAGACTGTCCAGGTTTTGCGATTTATTTTGGAGCGTACGAACTTTTTATTCGCCTCTTTTCGAACACTGATATTTGTGGTTTAATGATAGCTGGAGGTTTAGCTGGCATCATTTCTTGGATCTCGATTTATCCGTTGGATCTAGTGAAGTCTAGACTACAAGCTGACGGAACAGTTGGACCACACCAGTTCAATGGCATCATAGACTGTACAACGAAGACGTATCGACGTGAAGGTTTGAAAGCGTTCACCCAAGGCTTAAACTCTACAATCCTAAGGGCATTTCCAACCAATGCTGCCATATTTTTCACTGTTTCTTGGGTTACTAAGTTCTGCGAAAACACCAAGGATAAGTTTGAATTTTCAGCCGATAGAAATGCTCAAAGTTTGCCCTTGGAAGAGAATACTGACCGCATCATTTGTTTTGACAAATGACTAAAACTGAATGAAACTCGTGTCATTGGAGTTTATAAGACTTTCTTGACCTTCTCGCAGAGGCCTGGCATGGCCAGGTAGTTAGGGCGTTATAATATGACGGTCAATCCCACTATTCGTTGGTAAAAGAATAGACCAAGAGTTGGCGGTGGGTGGTGGTGTCTAGCTGTCTTTCACTGCTAAATTAGGGACGGTCAGCGCAAATAGCCCTCGTGTAGCTTTGCGCGAAATTCATAACAAGCAAACCTTCTCGCAGACAATGTTAATATCTTGTTCTATTAATTGATCTTACGTGTTATAGAAAGTTTCGCTTTTACAGAATACCAACTATGTTAATGATTTTAAACTGAAAATCAAGTTTTTCTTGCCATCGTGGACTTTAATAGCTTTCGTTACCTGTTCCCTAATTTCAAGTAATGGTTGGTTAACACGCAAAGATACACAATGGGCTATCTGTGCTCTCCCTACCACGGGTTTCAAAACCCGATTTTAAGCGTCGTGAGTCTGCAAACTAACCGCTGAGCCACTGGGGGGTTTCAAGCAAGGTAACTGGAACTTGTTTCACCTCAATTCATTTGCACCTGTCGCAAAACGCTGATACTTCTATTTATGCAACCAGAATAACCGGGAAATTGAAATATCTCGACGTTTTTTTTAATATCAGTCCAAAACTATGTTGTTGCTCTTAATTTTATGCGGATGAGATTATATCCATAATATTTTTTTTTATTCTAGCAATTAGCAATTATCTAGAGAGATAGCGTCTGGTCAGCACCGCCAACCCTTGTGACACAAGACTAGTGGGATTTCACTTCAGTCTATATATCCGTGGCACTAAAATTCAGAACGCAAATTTTGTTTTTTGGTAGTAGTAGGACGCGAATCCCAGCTTCACAATCTATCGCGCTAAATACAGGACCAAGCTATCCTCTGATTAAAAACTCAGAATTTTAAATCCATTTTTCATTGATCCTGGGAACAAAATTCATTCTAGCGAAGCTATGCAGGTGCAAATATTTGAGTTCATTAAACATTCTAGATGTTACAGTGTTAAACAGTAAAATTCCACCCACAAGTATTATGAAACTGTTTGTAATTAAGTACAAAGCTACACAATGGGCTATCTGTGCTCTGCCCATCACGTGTATCGCAAACCGGTTTCTAGCGTTGTAAATCCGAAGCCACACCACTGTGTCACTGGGGGACGTTGACAACAGCACTTCAATATATTTGTATCAAATGTATATAACTATAAAAATATTTGTTTTGTTTTTTTGTTTAGAAAAAAAACGTAGTAATTTTTTTGAGATCGTCTTGTTTATAGATTTCATATCAGATATACCGAAGAAATCACAATATGAATAACAATTTCCTTGACTTATTACCATTTCTGTTCCACCACATCTCCAGGTGGTTAAGGCACTCGACTCGCAATCTGAGGGTCGCGGGTTCGAATCCCCGTCACACCAGACATGCTTGCCCTTTCAGCCGTGGGGGCGTTATAATGTGACGGTCAATCCCACTATTCGTTGGTAAAAGAGTAGCCCAAGAGTTGGTGGTGATGACTAGCTGCCTTCCCTCTAGTCTTACACTGCTAAATTAGGGACGGCTAGCGCAGATAGCCCTCGTGTAGCTTTGCGCGAAATTCAAAAAAACAAAACAAACAAAATAAGCCACTGGACCACCTCTTGAAAACGAAATATTGTATTTATGCCAAAGCTTGTAAGGTTATCTGCTACTGTCCCTAATTTTGAACTACTGACTAGAGGGAAGGCAGCCAGTCAGCAGCATCCCTACCACCAAACATCTACTCTCCATGTTAAGGGATTGACTGTCACTCTTATAGCACATTTTACAGCTTAAACTTCGAGGAATATTTTGTCGTATCGCATGGATTCGAACCCGGCTTCTCAGGTTCGAAATAAAAAAACTCTACGACATTGCCAACCCGTGCCCGAAACGAAAAATAAGCTGGGAAGTAATATTACAGAAGTTTAGTTAAAAATAAGCTGGGAAGGCCCCCCAGTGGCACAGCGGTATGTCTGCGAACTTACAACGCTAGAAACCGGGTTTCGATATCCGTGGTGGGCAGAGCACAGATAGACCATTGTGTAACTTTGTGCATAACTTCAAACAAACAAAGCTGGGAAGCAATATTACAGAAGTTAAGTTAAAAATAAGCTGGAATGATATTGCATAATCGCATCTGAAATCCGAACCAAACGTGTACATGTAGCATAGCACTGACACATTTAAATAGTGCGAATGTAAAAAACAAATTATTACAATTTTTTTTATATGGCATTGGAAATTAGATGCTAATTATTTCATGAATCACGTGCTTTTCGTAACTTTCAAAAACTTGAGCCAATCGCCTTTTAACATGAGTACGTGTTACTTATCTTATAAGCGCGAACTAGTGCATTATTGTGTAGGTCTTTTTATCATCAACATTTATTGTTGATACAATCCAAGCTAATGCATTGTTATGTAGATCTTATTATCAGAATGCGCATTAGCTTGGATCGTATCAACAATACATTCTGATAATAAGAAGATCTACATATCATTGCATTAGCTTGGATCATACTAACAATACATTCTGATAATAAGAAGATCTACATAACAATCTACATAACAATGCATTAGCTTGGATCGTATCCTTCTTATTATCTGAATGCATTGTTATGTAGATCTTCTTATTATCTGAATGTATTGTTGATACGATCCAAGCTAATGCATTGTTATGTAGAGCTTCTTATTATCTGAATGTATTGTTGATACGATCCAAGCTAATGCATTGTTATGTAGATCTTCTTCTTATCTGAATGTATTGTTGATACGATCCAAGCTAATGCATTGTTATGTAGAGCTTCTTATTATCTGAATGTATTGTTGATACGATCCAAGCTAATGCATTGTTATGTAGATCTTCTTATTATCTGAATGTATTGTTGATATGATCCTAATAAATGTATTGTTATGTAGAATACTTTATCGTCAAAATGTGTTATTGATGACGAAATTTAGTTGCAATTGAATAAAATGTGTTAGGGGAAAATATATATAATTGTTCTCACAAATTCAAGGCATGCACAGGCGGATAGAGGCATTCAAAGCTAAACAACCGCAGTAATGAAATTATTTATTTAAATAAATTACAATAACGGATATTTTACAATATCAATAGATTTTACTGTACGTTGTTCTTGACCACAAAAAAAAGTAGATTATATGACCTGAAAAATCATGTTTTTGCCTCGAATGGTTGTTATAAAATTCTGGAAAGTAGTGTACAATTATAAAATAAAATCATGCAAAAAACAAAAGTAAACAGTTAACGAACTTTATTTCTGTATTTGTTATTACCTAAAGTTATTTATTCGATGTCATTCACAATCATGGAATAGCTCATCAACGATAAAAATAATATTAAAATAATACAGTTTTTTTTTTTGCACCATTCATGTCGAACAAGAATCTTAAGTGCCAGTAAATGAAGCAGGCTATCAGAAGCTGGTTCCTTTCCATTCTATAGCTGGAACAGTTACACTAAGGTTACTCTCTTTGTCCTATACAGTTGGATTTTGTTATTATGATGTACCTCAATGAATTTTCATTGATGCTCTAAATGCCCGGAGATATGTTGACTGCACTCGCCAGTAAGTCTTTATTGACATTCGACAAAGAGAAAATAATATACTAATCATTTCCCTCCTCAGCTTCTCCAATATAAATTTAAAGGCTTAAACTGATTAAATTCTGAGAACGATCCCAGAGATTTGCACAGCATAAATAGCCAATTGTGTATCTTTGTGCTCAGTAAAAAAACTCTTCCGAGCTTTTACTAACAAGCCTTGTTGCGCCATCTGTTAAAGCTTTGCGTAAAAACTGGCATTGGTCTATTTTTTTTCTTTCTTCTTCTTTGTGTGTGTGTCTGTGTATTATGGTTCTGAGGTTTATCTTATTTAATTTTGTCCCTAGGGTTTCCTAAAGATTAATAAACGTTATGTCCTCTGCTTATGTGTAAGTATGTGTTCACGTGAATACAACAATGAGTTTCAGCCTTAAATCATTTCTTGATAAAATCTAGTTACAGGACGATTTGAATCGTTAAAAGATGTTCTTCGTCAAAGTCAAGTCAACATATGTTGTTCAAGGTACATAAGAGCTTGTCACTCTACTTGAATACTAGTTCTCTCGTGGAAGTTGAAAGTAGTATAACAAACTATAGTAAAAACACGAGATTTTGTTGGTTTTTTTCGCACAAAACTAAGTAGGCTATTTGCCCTCTGCTTACCAAGGGCAATCGAACCGCGGACTTTAGCGTTGTAAGCCCGCAAAGTTACGGTTGATCCACTTGGGTTACGAAAAGAAAAAGAGAAGACTTTCTTATCTACGAAAGCCACAACATTGTGTTTATTATTATGTTGGTCAATAATTAATATCGTATGCTATTACTGGAAGAATGTATACATAATAATAATAACAACCAAACTACATAGTCTTGGTGTACACGTATGTTTATTTATTTAAAGCCTACAACATTATTGAATAATCAGTTATACTTAAATTGTTACAAATTGTAACTAAATCACACACACACACACACACACACACACACATATATATATATATATAAAGGCTGAATAAATATTTTTATAGATGGTTTAGGCAGAGAATTCACGATGAAACGAAAGTAAAATGAGCACAACTGTCTGGATCAGGGTGATAACTGTCTGGGTCAGAGTGACAATTGTCTGGATTAGGGTGATAACTGTCTGGATCAGGGTGATAACTGTCTGGATTAAGGTGATAACTGTATGGGTCAGGGTAAGAATTGTCTGGATTAGGGTGATAACTGTCTGGATCAGGGTGACGACTATCTAGATCAGGGTGAGAATTGTCTGGGTCAGGGTGAGAATTGTCTGGATTAGGGTGATAACTGTCTGGATCAGGGTGACGACTATCTAGATCAGGGTGAGAATTGTCTGGATTAAGGTGATAACTGTCTGGGTCAGGGTAAGAATTGTCTGGATTAGGGTGATAACTGTCTGGATCAGGGTGACGACTATCTAGATCAGGGTGAGAATTGTCTTGGTCAGGGTGAGAATTGTCTGGATTAAGGTGATAACTGTCTGGATCAGGGTGACAGTTGCAGAAAAGGACTTAGAGAATTAAAATCTACAAAGGGCTTTCAAAAGATCGTCCATTTTAGTTTCGTCTAATTTCACCAGAGTTCTGAATTGATAACAATAAAAAAGGAAACATTTAATAATCTCTTTTGGAGTTAACATTTAAAATGAGTCTTCAGATTTTTTTTTTTGGGGGGGGGGGATAACTATTAATATTTCTTTAAACGCTGTACGATTTAAGTAACGTTTTAGTTCCAAGTTTAAAAGATTAGAGTTCCATGTGAGATGAGAAACCTGTAGGTCCTTCTGTTTCTTTGGTCTGTCTGGAAGTGGTAAATGTTTCAGAGACTGGCTCCTGAGATTGTTGCAGGAAGATATCTGGAATATAAGGCAGACAAAGTAGTGAAACAATGGAAAAAGTTGGTGATGTAATTTAATGTGTAAGCATGTACAAAATGAAATAAAAACAAGTGATTAAAAGTCATAATTTCTTGAAGATCAAGATACACGTGTCAAAGGAGGGGCCCCTTTGTATGTCTGCGGACTTACGACGCTAGAAACAGGGTTTCGATACCCGTGGTGGGCAGAGCACAGATAGCCCATTGTGTAGCTTTGTGCTTAATTCCAAACAAACAATCAAAGGAGGGGGACAGTTTGTGTAAGAGTTTTTTCAGTTCAAGATAAATGATAGAAAATAGTTATACTCGTGCAAGCAGTACGTGAAA